CCACTGCAGGGAAAGAGGCCATGTGGTGCTTTCACATCCCCACAGGTTGTAATAGTCCTGTATAAATACCATGCTAGTGGCCCTGATGCCCCTACGTCATGAGTTTGGGCCTGGAAAACCTTAACTATTAGGCCCTTTGCCCAGGTTCCATCATAAGGCCTCATCGTGAGACTGTCTGCAGAAAACAGTGCTCTTATACTCCCTTCATTCACTTGAGTGCTCACATCTTCTCCTTTTAGACATACTGCTACCCCATCATTCAGGCTCTCCTTACTCTTTTATCCTCTCCAATCTGTGTTACAACCTGCCTTAAGATTCCCCCTTCTGGAGAATGACCCCCAGTAATTCTGAGTGTGTCTTCGGGCATCTGAGGTCCAGCTCACCTTGCCAACCTCACTCCAGGCCCTCCTTGCCGTCTTCTTGCCCTACTAGCCACTTGCCATTTCCAAGCATGCAGATCGTCATACTTATGTCTTGAACATACTTTTTCCTATGCCTGAAACACCTTTCCCTGCCTCTCCACAATTTTTCCTCATCCCTTAAAACCCAGCGCAAATGTCCCACCTCTGTGAATGCTTTCCAGAAGCCCTGGAAGAAGCCGTACTCCTTCCTCTGTGCACCCGCTCGTATGTATCTCTGTATAGTGTTCAGCAGATTCTCCTGTGTGTGCCCGTATTTCCCACTAAGCCGAGAGCTCCGGATATCAGGGTCTATGTTATATTTATCTTTACATCCTCATAAGTTAACACAAACACCCGGCACTTGGTAGGTACTCAGTGATGATTACTTAAGGACTGAATGGACAGTTGGGGGAGAGTTGAAATGGAATAAAGACCACCTAGAATCACTAGACCTGGAAAGGAAGGTGCCCTGAGATAGGTAGGAATGGCTACAGGATGGAGAAATTTCTATTTTTATTGGAGTAAACAGACGTCAGTGAGAGAGGCAAGGGTAGTAATATGTCCGATATGGTAGCCACGAGCCCTGTGTGACTACTGAGCACTTGAAATATGGCTAATTGTGGATCAAGATGTGCTGTGAGTATGCGCACATCCGATTTTGAAGACTGAGTATGAAAAATATAAAATATATATACATTTATTACTTGTTGAAGTGGCAGTACTTTGGATATGTTGAGTTTAAAGATACTGATCGCAATTTCATCTGTTTCCTTTTCCTTTTTTAATGTGCTTAATAGAAAATTTAAAATCACATGTGTAATTTGCATTGCATGTCTATTGGTCTAGAAGAATTGTTCTAGAAAGTGCTCGGAAATGATTTGACCAGCTGTGTGAGAGGATCACAGACCTGTGATTAGTTACTGTGGAGCTACGTCAATCGTTTAAACTTTTCTCTGCCCCAGCACACCTAGGGATATGATACATTCCAGTCTGTAACCGGCTCACTGCAGAAGTGATTGCTAACCAGGAGCCAGTCATATCAGAATCCCTCAGGGTGGCCAGAAGGGAGGCAGGAACGGTTTTTACAGCTTCTGAGTAATTTAATGCACTGCAAAGCCCAGCATAACCTCCAGGGATGTGCTGAATATGCTGCCCACATTACAGTGGTGTTAAGCTGTCCTCATCCACTAAGTTCCATCTACAAGTGAAAAGCCTTAAGCCCCCTTCACTCACTAAGCTGCATTTTGTCATGGCATCAGAAATGGGAGCTTGAGAACTATACGCCCATGTGACCCGACCATAGTGCCGCTTGCCGTGGGCTTCTTAGCATAACCTGCTGTGATTTTTGCGTCCCCTCAAGTGCCTCTCGCAAAGTAATAGCACAGGCAGAAATTTTCACCAGTGTAAGAATTGGGGCATGGAAATCAGAAGAGAGAACTGTCTTAGCCTTGCCCCTCATGGATTGTAAGGTCTTGAGCGAGTCCCTTCACTTTTCTTCCACTTAGTTTCCCATATATTAATTGCTGGACTTACTGAGACCCTTTGCTGCTGTCACAAATTCAGAGACACTTTCTGGCTGCCTGCTGCTCCTTCCCCGCTCCTGAGAGTCCACTCCAGGCCTTCCTGTTGGCCTTCCCTGCCAGCCTGGGGACTCTTGCTCTAACCCTGAATGTAATGAGGGACATTGTCAGGCCCTGCCATTGACAAAGAGCCACATTCACTGTTGGTTCCCAAAAACAGGGTGCCCCCTACTGTGTGTACCTGTGGGTGGCAAGGTGCCGCCGCCTCCTCCTTATGCGTGGGCAATACCGGGGGCCTTTTCTGCCCGGTTTTTATATCCATTTCACACCACTGTGTGGCAGAATTAGGAAAAAGGGGAGTTATCTTTGGGGTCCTGCACCTCCAGAGGATGGTGATACAAGCCCAGTTCCTTTTCTGGGCAGTTAGTTTGTGAGGGAAAAATTAAATCCAGCTATAAGAAAATATGTATTTATAGGACAGCCAAGTCTGCATGTTATATTCACAGAATATGTTTTATGACCATAAAACATATTCTAGAGGCTGTTGTGGAATAAAATCAGAAAGCAGCCAATCTAGGGTATCAATGAAGGATTGACAATTGAGTCTGTGTTATTACAGAAACAGTTCTTTGGTTTCTAACTCCAGCACTTCCCAGATGATGTGTACTTACTTATGGGAGAAGAGAGTAATATTCCACCTCCACCTTCCCCAAAGCCACTTCGTCACTTCCTCATCTGTGAGGTGAAGACTGAATTAAGTGACCTCTAAGGTCCCTTCTAGCTTCAGCATTCTATGGGTTTCTGTATACACAGGACCTCAAGGAAGCAAGCTGCTTCCTCACTTCCTCCTTTTTCACCCTGCTGGAAAAGGTGCACGTGTTAATAAGCAGTGCTGTAGCCAAAGACATGTCTGTAAATAGATGAATACACGTGATAATGTTAGAAACATTATAAGCACTAGAGTAATGTGAATATTATATGATTTTGCTGTTACTATATCCTGCCCACCTTTCTGATCCCCATTCTAAAACATCACTGCATCATTCCAGTTTTTCACCTGCACTGTCTCCTTTAGCGGGTCTTGTTGGCAGTGGTGGACCAATGTCTCCTCCTGTCATGAATTAGAGGAATCGATGTAAGACTTTTCCCAGGGAAGCCCTCCCTTCCAAGTAGGACCAGATCCCTCAAAATCTGGCCTCTTGGGTTTTAACATCTATACCATCTCCCTCTTATTCTAAGAGTAGAGGGCACCCGCAGAGGCCCTTCCTATTTGTGGAGTTAGGGTTTTTTCATGGCCACATACTCTTGGTAGGTTGTGGCTTGGGTACTAATAGTAAAAATATTTCCAAAAAAGACTAGTGTACACACACGCACACATACACAAACACACCCCAGAAATCATAGGATCTCCCGTAGACCAGGAGATTCTACAATAAAGCATAAAGATGTCTCGAAGAACCATAGATCCTACCCATTGGAATGGCTACAGGCAGAAAGGAAGGAATGGAGGAAGGAAAATAACAACTATTGATGAAGATGTGGAGAAAGTGGAACCCTTGTGCATTGCTAGTGGGAATGTAAAATGGTATAGCTGCTATGGAAACAGTAAAACAATTCCTCAAAAAATTAAAAACAGGACTACCGTATGATCCAACAATTCCATACCTGGATATATACCCCCAAAGAACTGAAACCAGGGACTTGAACAGCGCTCTTCACAATAGCCAAAAGGTGGAAGCCACCCAAATGTCCATTGACAGAGGAATGGATAAACAAAATGTGTGACATACATACAATGGAACATTATTATTCAGCCTTAAAAAGAAAGGAAATTATAACATATGCTGCAACATGGTTAAAACTTGAGGACAGTATGGTAAATGAAATAAGCCAGTCACAAAAAGACAAATACTGTATGATTCCACTTACAGGAGGTACGGAGAATAGGCAAATTCAGAGACAAAAAGTAGCACGGTGGTTTCTGGGGATTAGGTGGAGAGGGGAATGGGAGTTGCTGCTTTTTAGTGGGTATAGAGTTTCAGTTTTACAAGATGAAAAGAGTTCTGGAGACAGATGGTGGTGATAGTAGCACAACAATGTGAATGCACTTAATGCCACTGAACTATGGTGGTTAAGATGGTAAATTTCATGTTATGTATATTTTACCACAATTTTAAATATTAACAGTAAAATGTAAAATCCAAAAAAGCATAGAAACTCCATGAAGACAGGATGTGTACCCTTTTCATTTACTGCCACATTCCCAGAGCATAGCACAAGGCCTACCATCATACGAAGTTCTCAATAAATATTTGTTAATGATGAACAGATCAACAGGTTAAAGTCTCTGTTTTATTGTCTCTTAGACTTGAACCTAAAAGTGCCTCCAGATGGCAATTCACACTCTCCTCTTAAACCCTGAGCTCCCGTCCTACCTTTTGTGCCTAAAAAAAATAAATAACACTCACAAGCTACTTTTTATTTTAATTAACATTATCACATACAGATATTTGAAACGATTTATTCAGCATATAAATGCCC